TGATTTCAAACTACCAACAACTACGAACTTGTGAAGTACAAAATCACCTAAATCCTCAGGTTAGCCAGAACGAATCTGATATAAGTCACCCAAGAGTTAGGTAGGACTCAACCCTCAATTTGACTGTTGAAATGGCCTGCGATGCTCATTCTATCGTCCATTAATCAAGCTAATAAGTCAAAAGAATTCATCAACTCACAAAATGATTAGGGATTTCATAAGGTGAGCCCACTAAGGGTACTTACCCTCAATTTAAAAACTTGCCTAAATATTTCATGAGTGTATGCAGGCTACAAGTATAACTCGTTTACTAAATTGCTAGCTATAACGACTCTATTGTATACAGTTTTTAAATAATTGTAATATGCAACAATTTCTTTAAAATTAACCTTTGTCCTATCACTAGTTAAGCTTGTGCATAAAAAATAAGATCCAAAAAATTTCAAGTAATCACATGAAATCTCACTAGACTTTGTGAAATCTTTTCTCCCAAAATTATCTCTTTGTAGCTAGATTTCTTAAACACTTCTCTATCTCAAGATGGCATAACATAGTGTCCTAAGAAAAGTGCTACAAAGATTCTTCCGCTCAATATCATCCAAAGCATTAAGCTCAACCGACAAATGCTTTCTCCATCTTTATCATGAAAGTTCAACCCACATTGAGATTTATGATTTTAATGTTTGGCTCCTACAAAGGAAAGCCAAACCCTATCAACCCCACCACTTGCTTTGTGTGAAAATTTTCTTAAACAATCAACTCCCTAGCTAACTTCAAGCACCAATTTATATCTCATTTTACAAGCATCAAGAAGTCACTAAAGAACTCGCAGGCTCTCTTGAGTGTGAGATAAGACAAAGGGGAGTTATTATGCATTTTATCCCCTTAGTTCATGTGCAAGATATTAGATGTGCAAAACCTCGAACCATTCATATCTCAACTATCATTTACTCAAGGCCGTTGAAAATGTTCTTTTCACAACACAATTAGCTTGCATTAGCCAAAGATTTTGGCGAAAACACTAGAGTTGGCCAACAATCAAATTAATATAAATGAATAAATTTGCTTGAAATTTGACTTTCAAAAAATTTCATTCCTAAACCTACCAATGAGGGATTCACAACAACATCCCTAGTATTAATGGAGAGATAAATCATAGGAAAAAATGCATCACCAACAACATTATAAAAGATTTCATCCACACAGACAAGATAAGGTCTTATGACCTTTGATCTTTTAAAAAAGGGAAAAGTCACCTACGCATTAGAGGTGCCTAGCCTAAATTATGCCGCCTAGCATGGCTTTGGTTAGAAGTTTAAGTATTCCTTCAAAATGTCTTGAATTTGAAGTTTATATATATATATATATATGAATTTGTTATTTAGATTTTGTTTGTGACAGCTTTTTTATTGCTTTACTTTTTAAATCATAACCATATTTCCTATTTTGTCACTGCTTCTTTTTCAAAATTTTAACTAAAAATCAGTTTTTTACAATAAATTTTAAAAATTACTTTCTCTACATCAATTTTATAAAGCATTAAGGCTTCATTTGCGACGGATTTTTTACTGCTTCTTAAAGCAGCTCTCTAGTACAACTTTTTTTATTTTTTGTACTAAAAAACAACTTTAAGAAGTAATAAGAAATTCGTCCCAAACAAAGCCCAAGAAAGTTGTTCCAAATAAGACCTAAGGATTCATTTGAGACAACTTTCTTTCTGCCTTACTTTTCAAACCGCAAACACAATTTCTATTTGGCCATTATTTTTTATTATTTTTTTAAAATTTTGAATTAGGAAGTTATATTCTATAATAACTTTTAAAAATTATTTTGTCAATAATATCTTTATGAAACAATACAAAAATTGACCTAAAGGAAGTCTTAATTCACTCAAAACCTCAAATTAATTATAATAAAAATTCTATTTTGCGATATTTTTTATAGAAGAAGTTCGAAATATCTTATTTGTTATTTATGAAATGGAATTTAATGCATTGATTGATTTGATTCCGTTATCTTTTTTACAAAATATCCGACAATATTGTTGGGTTGATTTACACCCTGAAAGCTATACGGACGTGGATTTTTTTTTTTTTTCATTTAATATTTATCATAATTCCTTAATAATTTGATCCCCTTAATATTAGAAAAAAAAAATTCCATCTGAAGCAGAACATAATTATAGTAAAATTATAACAACAAATATTGAAAATAATTTGTTTCTTCATTATAATGAATCAATATCTTCTAAAATTATTAAAACATATTAAATATGCAAAATTATTTTATACTCAAAATAATTTTTGTTCAAAATAATATAATTTTTTTTTCTAGAAGTTAGTCTTCATGTCAATTATTGGAGAATATTTCTCAATGTTTTATTTGCAGTTGCTGACTTAAATATTAAATAATCATATTAAGTTTAGAAAAACAATCTGTTGTTTGTTAGATTAATTTAAAAAATAATTAATAAAATTTAATAAATTATATTTATAATTTTTATGTTATTTTACATAATATTTAAAATTTTTAATGTAAAAGAAGGGGCGGCCAAATATATCTTTTGTGGGAGTTTTTAAGGCTTCATTTGAGATATCTTTCTTATGATTTTCTAAATTAATTTTTTAGTACAAAAATTTCTAAGTACAAAAATTTTTAATACTAAAATGTTGTTTAAAAAAGAGTAAAAAAGTTATCCCAAATAAAATCTAAATATAATTTTTTTAAGTTATTTGATCACTCAGAATTGAGAACTCATAATTATAATAAAAAATAATGATAATCTTTGTCATAAAAAAGAGACTCAAGCTTCGTTTGATATTGCTTCTTAAAATATATTTTTAGTACAAAAGTTTTAATTTTTATACTAAAAATTTTATTTAAGAAACAACAAAAAAATCGTCCCAAATGAAGCCTCAATAATCTAAGGAGGCGCCATCACCAAAAGTATCAAACCTACCATGGGAATTTCTTTACCAATATTTTAATCCACCAAATCATTTTTTATTTTTTGAGGACGATATCTTATACTTTGGCCTTGTTTGGTTCCCCCTGACAATTTTTTCATTCTTAAAAGAAGGCATTACCACGGAGAAGCAGTTTTTTTTTTCCTTCTCAGATCGGCGAAAATACGGAGGTGTAGCAAAAGATATTTTAAAAAAGTCGCTTTAAATAACAATAAAATAATAATTTTTTCACCGATTGAAATCGGAAATGAAGGCATTACGACGGAGAAGGCAGTTTTTTTTTTTCCTTCTCAGATCGGCGAAAATACGGAGGTGTAGCAAAAGAAATTTTAAAAAAGTCGCTTTAAATAACAATAAAATAATAATTTTTTCACCGATTGAACTCGGAAATGGAGAACTTACGGCCAGCCAAACGAGGCCTTGATCAACAACCCTTCTACAAATCAAATGGATGCTCCAAAAACTACAAATACTCCACCATCCATTCAATGATTCAAATACATAAATTAATAACTCTCTCACTTTATTACAGCGCGTCACTTACATGAAACACACTATTATTAACACAACATATTAAAGAATTCATGTCATGATTATTTGATAAATTTTATTCAGGTTGTCGACTATCTAACACATCCTTTCATTATTCGCATACAGAGCTTTCAAAATGATAATTATAAAATTTTTACAATATTTTCATAAGTAGAGAATAATCACAATTAAGTTCTACGAAGGCCAATCAATATACCAACTATAAAGTACTACAACAAAAAATCCAATAAATTATTGGTTCTCATGTTTATGTTATTCATTACAATATTTTTTTAAACCAACGGATAACATTAAAATATAATGTCGTCCACTCATAATAATAATAATAATAATAATAATAATAATAATAATAATAATAATAATAATAATAATAATAATAATAATAATAATAATAATAATAATAATAATTTGTTGCAAAAGAGAGAGATTGGTAGAAATAAAGAGAAGAAATTTAATTTGTATATATTCTGATCAATAATTTCTCGTTAACACGAGAGAATACTATATTAAGATATTTTTTATGATTATGAATCAGATAATATAGCATAACTCTATAGCCTGAAAGTCATAATAATTAGTAATGATAAACTATGAGATTAATTGAGCTCACTTTATGCTTATTTTAAGTTATTTATACTTAGATAAGAAATTAAAATATATTTTTATCTTACAATATAAGCTTTAATTTATTGATTGTTGTATAAACCGAGTTATTCTCTCTTAGAGATAGGATACAAAATGAACATACACACTTCAATGGAAGATGAGATTAGAGAGAGTCATATTTAGATAATTTGATCACATAAGAAAAAGGATTCATATAACCAACCCTACATAGTCAGTTAAAGGCTTGATGTTGTCGTATAAACTGATTTATGCAAAAATGATGATATGTCAACGAGCGTGTCTGAGATAGGGCGATAGGAAAGTGGCAATGACAATGATAATAGGGCAATTAGCAATAAGGCAACCAGGCGGGCGTAAAAAGCGTATGAGGCCGAAGAACAATGGATAGGGCAATAAGTTAGTAATAGCTTCATGTTTCATTGAATATGACATGCTTGGAGATGGAGACCCATGGAGACCAATGATATACGGCTAAAAATAATTCTATCTACATTAAATGGTTATCCAAAAAAAAAAAGTTTCTTTTTTATTTACTTATATATATAAACATCTTCAATTAGGCTAATATAAATATCGATGTGTTAAATAATATCAATCAAACTAGCTCAACAAGCCAACGAGCTAAGGCTAGCTCGAACTCAAACTCGTACAACATACGAGCTTGAATTTAAGCTCAAACTCAAGTTTATGGCTCAATATGTTCTACTCATGAATATACGAGCTCGAATTTATGCTCGAACTTGAACTTGTGACTCAACAAATCCGACTCACTACCTTGTCAATGAGTCAATTATGTCTCTCTCTTTCTCAATAAGTTCGGCTCATGAACTTGAGGACCCTCCAAAGAAAAACTAATGCTATCGAAATTATTGTTATGATATATGATATTTTTCTGATTACTATTGCCAGTGTACCTCAAATTTTCAATCCCGTTTCATCATAGGATCAAGTTCTCTTAGTCTTTATTTATTCCATGAATTTCAGAGCCTCCTCCACATGCTTGTGTGCAACAAACACCAAGTTACTTAAAACAGTTAACGGGATATAGATTCACATGCCTTACAGAATAAAATGGTAGAAGCTCCCAATGAAAGATCACTAGTCTTGTTTAGCGTCATCCTGAAGGGACTTACTCTGCTCTGACTCTATCTGTGGGTCTCCTACATGCTGCGAGGTTCAGGAGAAGAAGATCAAATGAGAAGAATAATATTATAAGATCGAGGGTATGAGGCTTATAATGCTGATGTAAATGGCAGAATAAGGATTCGCGGTGAATAAGGCTTTGTTTGGGACGGCTTTTTTATTGCTTCTTAAAATAGCTTCTTAGTTTAAAATTTAAAATTTTTATACTAGAAAACTGCTTTAAGAAGCAGGAAAAAAGCTGCCCAAGCTATTTAATGCAGAATGCCTAAGAAGAACGGCAAGAATAAGAGTTTACTTGGGCACTTTTGTTGCCAGCAGGCTTGTATGGACAAGCTGGAGGGACCCTCTCTGGCGTTTTGTATTCCCATCCGAAGAGTCTGTACACCTTAGCCTGTGATAAAGAAATGTATAAGCACAAATAGGTTTGGCAAGCAGAGAGCTGCGTTGGTTAGTAAAGCAGAATTGTATTTCACTTCGATAATATAAGCTGCCATATTTATATCTTTAAAGAAGTAAACTTTTTATACTGTTTTTATATCGTTTATGTTCTAAAATAACATAAAACCATGTTCAGCACGCTTATAATTTTCTCATCAAGAATTTGTGAGACCGGTCCAGCCGGTCCGGGCGAAACAGGTGAAACGGATCCTGTACGTGCCGTTCGCACCGCCTAAGTCAATTAGGACGGATTTTCGAGTTAGTTTAGGAGGGAAATTGAATGTAGGGATTATTTAGAGGTTTCCTTTTGAATTGTAACTTGTAAGCATTAAATAGTTTATTTTCCTATGGTTATGGCATCTTGAATTTAGATGAAATTTTAGATTTCTTAGATTTAGGTTTTTTTTTGGGCTCTAGCAGCGTCTAGAGATTTGGGAGAGAAAGATACTCTTGAATAGAGGATCAATTGTATCTTGGTATTTTTCGTTTCCCTTTCATCAAATAATCAAATAATACAAATTATCTACTATTTCGTGATTTTGTGTGGATTTTTGTGGAGAATTATCGCTGTTTTCTAAAGATTGATAGGAAATACTTGAGATCTACACGTGTTTCCTACCAGAATCATCAATTGAGAAAATTCAGCTCCAAAGATCAATCATAAGGCGCCCAAAGAGAAAGCCAACAAGCCCGCTTCCCTAATATTATCCTTTCCTAGGCTCCCAGCCCATGTTAATTCCAGCTGTGACCAACCACTGCAATCCTCCCATCAAACACCAACATCAAGAATTCTTCACAAAAATTCACAAAAAAACACGAAACAGTAGATAATTATATAACAAAATAATAATAATAATAAAGAAATCATAAAAGAGTCACATAAACCTTAATTGGAAATAAGGGAGTCACAAATCAAGATAACACAAGCCGGATACATAGGAGTCATCGAGAAGCCATAAATCCCTCAACAAAATAAACAAAATTGCAGCTGACAACATCAGAGAATCAATCAAATAGATGAAAGCTGCAAGTAACCAAAATAGGGGACCATTGCAGGTAGCCAAAACAGGGTATCAACCACAAAAATCAATATTAGGTACTCTTGGCAACGGTAAGAAAGGGATACAGGTACAAATCAAACTTTCATAACAAGGAGACATCTAAAGCATATCCATACAATCCACTACCGAAATTTAAAACAGTAAAATAAACTAAATTTCAACTAAAAGTTCAACTTTTTTATTTACCATCAAAGCTCAAATATTAAGCTTTCAAAGACACTACGCCATATTTGCATACGATGTATTAATGACAATAAAAAATTGCTTGAGCTCATTTGTAAAGATTTCTCATTGGGCGATAGGCAAGGTTCTAAAGTAATTGTTTACCTACATCTTTGGGTGATCTTGGAATACACAATCTCAACCAATGGCGAGTGACTTTATTTGCAAAATTAGCAAACATACTAATAGGAAATACTTGATTTCAAGTATTTCCTATTCACTTTTACAACAAATCTCCAAGCAAACTGCTGTTCACGGCAGGAAAACAGCAAAAACAGAGGGAAATCCAGGAAAATCTGCGAGAAAACTTGAGAAAAAACTTGTATTTTACTGGTAGATGCAAGGAAGATAGCAAAGATACAAGGATCCTCTATTCGAGAGGAGGATCGCACTCTCCCAATCTCTACAATTCGATCTAGAGCCCTAGCCACCAAAGAAGAACAAGAAAACTCTCATCAAAATATGACATAACCCTCATCTATCCTTTTCTCCCTCCTTAATGCATACAATTCAAAAATAACATAAAAGGACCTAATTGCCCTTGCTTCCACTCCTTTTGGCTCCAAGATTCAATTTGAAAAACAAGTGGACCCCACCTTCCTCCCTGTTGTTTCCGTCGGCTTCCTTCTCTCGTAAACGAACTGAGCCGGCCCAATGGATTGGGCCAGCTGGACTGGTCCTCTATGGACCGGTCTAACATTACCGCCCTCCCAAAGAACCACCTTGTCCTCAAGGTGGAAGTCAGGAAACTATCGCTTCATCCGCTCGTATGACTCCCACGTGGCCTCGTAGTCAGGGAGGTTCTTCCATTTGATCAGGACTTCTGTGGCTCCATCTGCTTTCTAACGAACCTCCATGAGCTCCAAAGGTTCCAATATCATTTCCATTTCATCTGTTAATGTCCCTTGTAACTCAGAACTAGTAGCATAATCTCCAATGGCTCTCCTTAGCTGGGATACATGGAAAACCGGATGGATCGTCGCTGTCGGTGGTAACTTCAGACGATATGCTACGGCTCCAATTTTCTCCAGTACTTCATAAGGACCGAAGTACCTTGGAGCAAGCTTCTCATTCCTCCGGTTGGCGATCGTTTTCTATCGATATGGGCGGAGTTTCAAAAATACCTTCTCTCCCACCTCAAACTGAATATCTTTCTGATGCTCATCAGCTTGTTTCTTCATAATCTGTTGAGCCCTCAACATATGTCTTTTTAACTCTTCCAGTGTTTTATCCCTCTCCTCCAAATACTCCTCTACTGAAGACACGGGTGTGCTGCTACTCCCAAAATGCACCAAGTGGGGCGGATCCCTTCCGTACAACACCTTAAATGGGGTCATCTGAGAGGCTGAATGAAAAGAGGTGTTGTACCAATACTCGGCCCATGATAGCCATTTAGCCCATAGCTTGGGTGTTTCTGATGCGAAGCATCTCAGATAAGTTTCCAAGCTCCGATTGACTACTTCTGTTTGGCCATCCATCTGTGGGTGATAAGCCGTACTCCTCTTTAGCACCGTCCCCTGCAGTTTGAACAATTCTTTCCAGAAATGGCTGAGGAACACTTTATCTATGTCTGATACTATCACCTCTGGCACTCTGTGTAGTCTGACTATCTCCCTGATGAAGACTAACGCTACTGTTACTGCGGTGTATGGATGACGTAGAGGAATAAAGTGAGCATATTTGCTCAATCTATCCATTACCACCAAAATCACAGTGAATCCCTCAGAGTGGGGTAGCCCATCAATGAAGTCCATAGATATCTCCTCCCAAACTCGTCCTGGTAACGCCAATGGTTGTATTAACTCCCCTGGTGACATAGCTAGATACTTATTTCTTTGGCACACCTCGCATCTGGATACCATCTCTTCCACATCTCTATGCATACCTTTCCAGTACAGCTCCGCCGCTAGTCTCCTGTAGGTTTTTAGTACTCCTGAATGACCTCCTACTGCAGTTCATGGAACTCCTGGAGCAATTATGGGATGTGTACTAATGTTCTGGGTAACACAAACCTCCCCTGGTACAACAATCTCTCCCCCACCAATGAGTATCCTGAATGGCTGCCCTCTTCCTTCAGTAAGTCAGCTCTGATCTTGCTTAGTTCCTCGTCCTTGGCACTTTCATCCTTTATGGGTTCCCAATCTAGAATCATTGGGACTGACACAGCCACTGTCTGCAGCTCCCCCATGCACCTGGACAAGGCATCTACTACCTTATTTTCTACCCCTGGCCTGTACTGAATCTCAAAATCATACCCGAGCAGTTTGGATAGCCACCTCTGATGCTCCTCTGTCACTATGCACAGCTCCAGCAAATATTTCAGGCTCCGTTGGTCGGTTCTGACGATGAAATGTCTTCCGAGTAAGTAGAGGCGCCACTTATGGATGGCCAAAGCAATTGCCATCAACTCTCTCTCATAGACAAATTTCAACCGGGCTCTGACAGTCAACACCTGACTGAAATATGCAATGGGCCTGTGACTCTACATCAGCACTACTCCTAGTTTGTATCCCGATGCATCTGTCTCCAATATAAAGGCCTGGCAAAATCCGGTAAAGCTAAGACTGGAACTGTGGTCATAGCTTTCTTCAACTGCTCGAATGTTGTCGTAACTGCCTACCCCCATAAGAACCCATCTTTTTTCAACTGCTCGGTGAGTGGCCAATCTATGGTGTTGTATCCCTTCACAAATCTTCTATAGTACCCTGTAAGCCCAAGGAATCCCCTCAGCTCCTTTAGCTTTTTGGGCAGTGGCCACTTAAGCATGGCCTCAATCTTGGACTGATCTGCTACTATTCCTTTCTTGGATACCACATGCCCCAAGTATTCCACACTAGCTTGTGTGAAACAGCACTTCTTCAAGTTAGCCCTCAACTGGTGCTCCTGGAGAACCTCTAACACCTTTAAGTGTCCCCAATGCTCCTCCTCTGTTATGCTATATATTAAGATGTCATCGAAGAATACCAACACAAATCGCCTGAGATACCATTTGAAGATCTTATTCATGAGAGCTCGGAACGTGGCTAGAGCATTGGTGAGGCCAAAAGGCATCACTAGGAACTCATAGTGGCCCTCATGAGTTCTAAAGGCGGTCTTGGGCACATCTTCTTTCTTCATTCGTATATGGTGATATCCTGATTTTAAGTCTATCTTGCTGAAATCACTGTTCCACTCAACTCATCCAGAAGCTCATCAATCACTGATATGGGAAACTTATCAGGTACAGTTTCCTTGTTGAGTGCGCGGTAGTCTACACAGAAACGCCAGCTGCCATCTTTTTTCTTCACCAATAGAATAGGACTAGAGAACGGGCTAGTGTTGGGCCTGATAATCCCTGCTTCCAGCATTTCTCTGATCAACTTTTCTATTTCATCCTTCTGAAACTGAGGGTAACGGTAAGGTCGTACGCTGACAGGTGACACTCTCTCTCTTAAGGTGATGGCATGCTCCTGCTCCCTGGGTGGTGGCAACCCTAGAGGGAGTTGAAAAACCTCCTCGAACTCCTGGATCAAAGGCTGCACAGAGAGAGGTATGTCTCCCCCATCCTCCACACTCACTCCCTCTAATCAGTGTAATTCCACCAAGTAGCCTTCCCCCTCCTCCTGAATTGTTTTGATTAGGGATTTAAGAGAAACCCCTGCCTTGGTCAGCCCTGTATCCCCTTGAATCA